TAACGTAAAGTTGCTCAACTTTACGTAGTACGGAACCTCTCTCTCTTGTAAAAAAAACCCAACCACATTCACATGGTGATCAACACTGCCAGCCAAAAATAGACGTTATGAAGTTGTATTCATTGAAGAATATAGTAGGCTGTTTTCGTACCTCATTATACATGTCCCTGCTCTGAAGTACGAACGAAGTAGCGGTGAGGCATCCTGCAGCTTCATAACTCGAAGAGAATTGGTGAGCAAACATGCTCATTCCCTGGGCACTGCAAATTCATAACTCATTTCATTTTGCAGAATCATTTTCAACGTTTCGGCAAATTGCCATCATCAGGATTCACGGCGGTACTCTGAAGTAGATGTATAATGTACACGCTATCAGTTCGTTGGAGGAGCTCCGAATCTCATGGATGATATCTTCGCTGCCTCGGAAATCCCTGGGTACCGGGTCGACCTCAGTTTGTAAAAAGGGTGAGAATGGAAAATGTTGCGCGCAATAATTGAATGAAATAAAAGAATAATACCAGATCCGGTACCAGCATAGAAATGTCTTTACTTCAATACAACATGGATTACAAATGTTACCTGATAGAAAATCTCACATAGTTGGGGAGTGTGAGAATAAGATCTAATAATTTCGAATGAAACAATACTCTTAGTGCTTCTGTTGACTTATAAACAAGAGTCTTGTCTGGCATCAAACTCACGATCGCTGAAAAAATTTCAGGCTAAGTGAGTGGCAGATTCAGTGCAACACGGCGGTAAGGAGAAGATTGGTGTCACTGCTTGAATCGTGTTAATGCCATCACACAGCAAAAACTATATTCCTGTCCCCTGGTGCGAATAGTGGCTAAGTGAAGAGCAGATAATGTTCCTGCCCGTTGCTGAGAGATTACCAAGAATGCGCAAACCAATCATCTTATACTGTAGGAAAAGAATGAAATGGAAAAATCGTGCTTTTTGGCATGCAGCTTCAAACTTGGAAAAACTGATGTCCTGGAAATGGCTCCATGGCAGTGTAGGGCGTGATGTTTGCCCTATTCCAACAAACAATATTCATAATTTAGTAATAGAGACTTTCTTGTCAGCGCCAAATACACCCCTGCTCCATCTCCAGGAAAGTATAAACGGCTGCAAAGACGAACAGCACTTGACTTTCGTGATTTGCTTGTCAGAGTAAGGTCTCATTTCTATTGGCTTGGTGTAGTTCGCAAATAACGCAGATGTAGAAAACGACGAACTATGGCGGAATTAAGGAGCGGTATCCAGGAGACTGCACCGACCGCAAGACAAGCAAGCGCATTTGTCCAGTTACTCTGGCACTCGCTATTGAACTCATCACCTAAAGACCTGGAAGGCAATTCCCCATTGGGACCCGCTCCGAATTCTGGTGAGGGTTCTGAGGTGTTTTGGGGAGTTCCTCGGTTTCTTCCAGGGTTCAAGCTCGACATGTGGTTAACAGAACAATCAGGTGAGCGAAGCGTCTCACTCCAGGAGTTGAAGGAGAAATTGGCATTTGAATTTGGAGGTTACAATTCAGCACAGGAAAGCACCAAAATAAAAGTTCTCGCGTCGCATCGCTATTCTGCACATCGGGTACGCTTGTTAATCGAACTTGAGTCCAAGCTGATTTTTAGATCGGAAATAGAGGGTATTGAGAAACGAGTTGAAACATCGGCCAGCCTCTTATCCTATCACTTAGATGATTCTGGCCTACATATGTCCCTGCAACGAGCTACTGTGAATGTTTTTCTTCCTTGAAATTCCTTTTTAATTTGATGTGCATCTTCGTTGTTGGGTGTACCAATGTGTATTTGATCCACTAACCATTACTCTGTCCACATCATTGTTTTTGCAAACTAAAAATCCACTTTGATAGCGACGTCCATCCTGTCTTCCCGCTCAAAATGAGTTATATGTAAAAACAGATGTTAGTTTGGTTACGCTTTTTCCAGCTCAGACGCATTGCTTGTAAATTCACGTTTATTGTGTGTTGTTATAATGATGTTGTTGTTGGCTGTCGTGTGTCCAAAAATCTGCATGGTAAGGTGATTGTCAATAATATTCTACTAATCTTTAATCTGTACTTCCATGACCATGTGTGCATTTAAGTCGTCTTATTTTTGTCGACTTTTGGCTTGCACTTGTTTTGATTCACCTACTCCTCCGTTGTCCTTCAATCGTTTTTGATTTGTCATCTTTTGGCTTATAGCGTTGTGATGTACCATATACATGTAAGAGTTCATTTCGTGTGTGTGAGCGTGTGTGTGTATGTGTTTGCCACTTCCATCAGCTGTGTGGTGGATACCAGGCTAAACTTATTGGTGGTCAATGGTGGTCAATTCATCAGCCTTGCAAGCTGTTGAATTGTGTAATCCTTCCACACGTTGCTATATATAACATAGCTGTTCGCTATCATCGCCTCCGCGATGGGCATGTCTGCGTCTGAGTCTGAGTGGAACTGCGGCATACCAGTAAGCGCAAACCTATCGGACCTCGGTCCCAGACCTGTTCTTTCGAATAGAACAACATTTCTTGTTTATTTCATAAACCCCAGCCCACAAGAAATGAAAACATCTCAATTTGTTTACTGCACAGGAAGGGGCGTGTGCATGGCATGGAAACCGATTCCTCTGGTTGGTGGAGGTCCTGGCACCTCACCATCACTGGTGCCCAGTGCAGCCCCTACTCATTAGCTGTTTGTTTTTGTCCACATAATTATTTATTTTACAAGTACGAGTTCGGTTTGTGAATAATAATAAAAAATATAATTATTATCTAGAAAAGTATTGTCTTTCCGCCATTTCTTCCCGAAGTCAGATTTGAGTGACTACAATGCGAACAGGTCTCCTGTGTCGTATCCGGACGGCCCAGGGTTAGACCCCAAGGCTGCGGTTCGACATGAACTAACTTACTTACTAAACCTTCACATTACAAGGCCGTGCAGTGGTGGCCACTTGGAGAGAGTCCACCAACAGAATTACTCTTACGCACGCACGCACATATACCTAGACATACTCTCACACACACACTCAGGCATATACAGACACGTACACTCACACCAGCGTTCATGTTGACTCACATCTTCAAAGGAGCTAACTTGGTTCAAGAGACGATATTGAGAGCACAAGGCCAGACAGACGAAATCCGAAGCTTTCGCCTGAAGGCGGAAGGCAAGAGAGAGCGAGAAAGGAAGGTGATAGCAATAGTATCTAGTTGCGGCCATGGGCATCCATGGCCACGACATTGCTGGTCCCGCATGGAATAGCGTATCAAACCGTAGTAAATATGTGTACGAACTGTTGCATAAAGAGCGGGAACCACGTGGGGAAATAACAGCGTATACTAAATAAGGAAGGCCCCAGGCCTTGTGTGAAGATATAAAATAAAGACGTATATGAACCCGTTTACGGGAGATAGATAAATAAGACACCTAAATAAGGCATACTTGTCCCGTAGAGGCCTAAAAGGCACGTGTCAATAGTATGGATACGACACCTGCAACTGGTTCATCGACCTCTTCAAGGCCTTTGACATCGTGTGGCACAAGGGCCTGATCGCCAAACTTCGAGCCCATGGTGTCTCCGGCTCCCTACTCGCCTGGATAACTAGCTACCTCTTGGACCGAAATCTTTACGTCACAGTGAATGGAACCATATCTGACCCCGAGTCTGTGACATCCGGAGTGCCCCAGGGCTCCATTTTAGGCCCCCTGCTCTTCCTCACATACGTTAATGACCTCCCCTATGCAATTCCCAATATTTCTTTGCATGCAGATGATACTTCTGTCCTTGATTCCTCCCCATCTCACGCCACCCTGTACCCCAAAGTTCAGACCTGTATCAACGACATTGTCCACTGGATGAGCACTTGGTACCTTAAGGCAAATGTGACCAAAACCGACCTCCTCCTTTTTCCCCCTCCCAAAGATCCAGTGCCCATCTTCCACTTTCCGGATGATCCCGGTCGCTCTATCTCTGTAGCGCCCCACCATAAACACCGTGGCATTGTCATAGATTCCGCCCTCTCCTGGTCTCACCAGGCTGATCATGTGTCGTTCAAAGCATGTCGATCCTTCGGCATAATGTCACGTTACTTGTCCCATTCGCCCCAAAATTGCCCGATTAATTTTTATAAATCATACGTTAAAAGGCGACGTGGAGACAATAATCTTAATAATGCAATGAATATAACTAAATGCGCACTCATATCACAACCATGGGGACGAATCATGTATTCCAGAACGTTTTCTTGTCACAATTATCAATGGAATTCGTGACTAAAGAGAATGATGAAACTACAATAGGATTTATACACTTGCAGTGGAACAGCGAGGATACAAGCATAGTAAGAAAAATAGCACAAACCTAGGAACAATTTGCACAGGTAATAAACTATAGGTGAGGTGAGAAATAATAGGAAATTCAGCAAGTGCAGTGTGACAATGGACATGCATGTGTAAGTGTGTGTGAGTGCGAATTTACTGGAATAGCGTAAGTGCGGTGACATTTTCTTTTTGTTTACAAAGATTTGGATCACGAATGCGAATGTAGACTGCTTCTAGAACTTTCAACTGCTTGAAACTACTTGCAGAACGAACAACACTGAACCAAGAATCATCATAACTTTCACGACACACGGGGTTAGACAACAAATGCAATTTAATTGCCGATGTATTCTTCTTCTTCTCACCGCCTCCGCCTTCACTTGGTTTCTGACCGCCACCGTCCTTCACACCATCTGCACCATCATCGTCATCATCGTCATCGTCCTCTTCATCATCGCTGCCACCTTCACCTGTCGTCGGCTCTCCCAGCAACTGACCACCGGGTTCATCATCGTCACTGCACACGTCGCTTCCACACTCCTCCTCCAGCTGCCGTCGCGTTCTCTTCCTGACCGGTCTTCCCTTGCCATTGCCAAACGCCTGACAGTCGTCAACTCTTCCGCTGGCATCATCCATATCCGGAGAGTTTCGATGCATCTTTCCAGTCACCTCTGCAAACCGAGCTGCCGCCAGCCGTTTGCTCCTTCTCAGCTTTGGTGAGTTGCGGTTGTCTGCGTCCGGCGTTCCGGTACTCGCTGATAATGAAGATAAGACACAGTGTTCGTCTTTGTTTACATTAATGTTTGTTCCCAATTTCTGCGTGCTGTGTTGGTTTTTCCGAGACACCGTTTGTGGAGCAGAAGCCTCTGCCGGAACGGACAGTGGAGTTGGGTGCTTACGTCGTCGGCCACGCTTTGGTCGGGAGGACCTAGCCGCCTGTGACAATATTGAGAGCGGCACGTGTTGTTTGATACGTTCGGACAGATGTTGAAGGGTCCTACCAACATACCGACTACCACATTGTCGGCATTCAAAGTAGTAAATGAGGTGACTCAATTGTAGGGTTGGTAGGACATCCTTCAACATCGTGAACGAACGGATCGTAGTGAACACGGTAACCACATTGGTGGCAAAGTAGGTTTTCTCCACTAGGGATTTCACCACACGGGCCGTGTCCCTCGATTCTTTCCCTTTCCAGGGCAAGCAAAGAAATACGCGGCACGGCAACGGTCCGATAGCTCGTTCCTTAACAACAGGTGTAGTTGTTAGAAGTTTGTCGAGGAGCTGCTGCGGGTAGCCATTCTTCACAAATACGGAGCGTAGAAAATCAAGTTCCTGTTGTAGCTTTGTTGGTGAACAAATGCGTTGTGCCCTATTCACAAGGTTACGAACTAAGTTTGACTTGTACTGGGAAGAGCAGAACGAGTCAAACATCATGTACTGCCCGGTGAAAGTGGGTTTACGGTATACTGTAGTCAATACACCAGTCTGGGTCTTTTCGACTAACACATCCAGAAACAATAGCTTATTGGACTCTTCATGTTCACACGTAAATCTCAGTGCAGGATGGATTGTATTCAGTTTCAGCAGAAAGTCGTCAGCGTCTGCTCTCGAATCAAAGTACGTGAAGGAGTCATCCACAAACCTGACGTACAATTCCGGCCACTTATCTATCTTCGATTCACAGTACCCAACAAACACATTGGCTAGGACCGGACCCAATGGAGAACCCATAGCCACGCCATCCGTCTGTTTATACATGATGTCGTCAAATGAAAACTCCACACCACTCGTAACCATCAACATCAAGCGGCGAAAAGCCGCTTCGGACAGCCATGGTACATCTTTTATTTCCTTGTTGTGGTACAGTGTTTCAGCACAGATATTGATTGTCTCGGATAATGGTACGTTTGTAAACAGACTGACAACATCAAAGGAACACATGTGCGCAGAAGATGGAACTGGGTTCTCATGTAAGATTTCAACAAACTGGAAGGTGTCTTTGACGTTGTGCTTACAGTAGAAATCCAGCACTGGCTGGATCATCATACACAGCCATTTGGATATTCTGTATTCCGCTGAGCCAGTCATGGAGAGTATCGGACGTAGCGGGCAAGATTGCTTGTGAATTTTTGGCAAGCCATACATCCTAGGTCGCACCGAACCGATTGGCTTTATCCGTGCAAATTCAGATGCGAATATTTCATTTGTGTTTTTCAGTGTCTGCAGGTATTTCACTAGTTGCTTTTCTCGGATTAGAGTTCGATCGTGCGTTGATACAGGGCCAAGCAACTCAAATTTGGTCCTGTCATCCAAAAAAATCATCCTATTATTTCTCACCTCACCTATAGTTTATTACCTGTGCAAATTGTTCCTAGGTTTGTGCTATTTTTCTTACTATGCTTGTATCCTCGCTGTTCCACTGCAAGTGTATAAATCCTATTGTAGTTTCATCATTCTCTTTAGTCACGAATTCCATTGATAATTGTGACAAGAAAACGTTCTGGAATACATGATTCGTCCCCATGGTTGTGATATGAGTGCGCATTTAGTTATATTCATTGCATTATAAATCATACGTTCTTCCCCTTTTCACGTACGGCTTCCCTGCCTGGTCCACCATTAACAAAACCCACATAGGTAAATTAGAAGTTCTCCATCGCCGTATACTGCGCATCATATTTCGTACTTCAGAACTAAATATTGCGACAGAGCTTTAGGCCATATTTTCAATTCATAGCATTCCTAACTCATGACAACCACGCCCTCTTCAGCCGAACCATACAGACACCAGCAAGGACATTTCCGTGGAGAGATAATAATTATTGTTCCACGCCTCTAGACAGCTGTTTCGCTCCCTGTTTCGCTCCCTGTCGGAGCTCATCAGTAGAGGATGATAATGATGATAATGGAGGAATGATCATTCTTATACACCAGAAATGGCGCAAGTGCTACATGTACTTTCCATAGGCATTAGTATTCCGCGTAAGATTTTCGTCGCCTGTGTGGTGTGTTTCTCCACCAATGAGCGCGTACTATTCTCACACTTTACCACACTGGGTGTTCACATCGTCATACACAAGCACTCTGGGGTGGCCACTGGCAGCTAGCGCGTCGGCGTACTCAGGCACGGCTTCCTCAAAGACTTCCTTTGAGTTGGAAATCATCGCCAGACGCTTGTTGATGCCAACGGGTAAGCTCTTCAACACCTGCGGTGGGTGGTTGGACTTTGCGCTCACGTAAAGCGGAGTGTCGTTTGGCTTACGGTATGGCTTGAACGTACCGGATTCCAGGCACATGGTTATATCTAGGTAGTTGACCATGCGCAGGTTGCGTTCAATCGTTATCTTCAGGCCGCACGACTTGAATACTTCGATTATTTGTTTTCTCACTCTGTCCGCTACGGGTCCACTTGCATCCTTCAGCACTGAAAGTCCATCGTCACGGTAGAGCCCCACCGACGTCCAGTCCAGGTGCACAGCTAGCTTGTGGAAGATGTAGGCTCCAACAACTTCACAGGCATCCGTACCGTCGTATGCACCCATGGTAACGTCAAACATATCACCTCGGTGTTTCCCAGCTCCTCCAACGAACTGATAGCATTGTCGATTAGAAATGTATTAAACATGTGACCTGATAGAGATCTCATATAGTTGGGGAGTCATAGCGATAAGATTATAAAATCTAATAATTTCGAATCATACAATACTCTTAGTGCTTCTGTTGACCTATACACAAGAGTCTTGTCACGCATCAAACTCACGATCGCTGCAAAATCTCAGGCTAAGTGAGTGGCAGATTCAGTGCAACACGGCAGTAAGGAGAAGTTTGGTGTCACTGATTTATTCGTACGACTGCAAGGAAGATAAAGGAAGGCGTGTTAATGGATGTGGATATAGGGGTTGAGCGTTTTGCGTTTGGTCAATGTTGGCGAGATGTAGCCAGAAGGCAATTTAAGAAGGGTCATGATGAGCAAGAGGAAAGTAGGAAAATATCCCTCCGGACAGATCAAAAGCTGAGGAAAATGTCAACGTCCACCAAACATCCGCCACTAATGGAAGCCGAAGAAAAGGCAAGGATGAGACGACTCAAAGATAACCTCGGCACACTATACAGGAGGGAGATGAGGCTTGGCACAGTACGTGTTTTTTTACTTGATTTTTTGGACTTTTTTGGACTTGGAGCAAAATTCTGCACACTTTTACGTGTTTCCATGATACCACAAGTTGCGCACGGTCTGCTTACATTCAAATACAGTGCTGCCAACAAATGATAGCGTGCAACAAAAAATCTTTCCATGCAAGTGCACATTTTCGGCCATAACTCTTGAACGGCTGGTCAGATCGAGAAAAAAAAATTCAGAGATTTTGCAGCTGTTCATGCTCTTTCAACTGATGTTGCACTCGATGTGAATTTACAAATTCGCCTTTTAAGGGATTTTACGACCAGGCTGCCACCTTAAACCCTCGGACAAGAGCAAAGGTTTTGTTGTCACGGCCACGGATCGCTACATCGAAAAAGTCAACAGCATCCTTGATTGTAAAGCCAGCTACGAAGAGTGCAGCGTTGCAGTGGGTGACCTGGACAGGGGGTCGGCAGTTGTATCAAAAGATATCTCGACAGGAAAAATCCCCCCAAGTCACTTGCGCGCGCCTTGCCACCGCATACTTCGCGCTTGCCGGTGTTCTACGGTCTCCTGAAGGACCATAAAAGTGGTCTTCCCCTGCGACCTGTTGTTTCGTTATGTGGTAGTCCTACAAGTAGCATTTCGTTACTATTAGAGCGAATACTCAATCAATTGCTTAGGTAGCGTACACATGGTATACTAATTAACGCATACATCTGTATTGATTCCTTTATAACTTCGAGATCCATCAAAGAAACCTAATGAAATTTTCTGTACTCTTTCTTTAGACAGCACAGATACAATGCCACGACAAAACTAGACCAGAAGTGTGACCCTGCCTGTGGCCAGACTTTACCAGTGTGGCCTTCCGATCTTTACAAAATCCGGCACGGCGTGCAGCATACAGAACACATTGCATTGGAAAAGATCCCAATTCTGGTGTATTGATGTTCTATAGTCCACTTCGGAGGGCACAAAACTAAGAACACCAGGAGAAATTCCATGAATCTCACCAGAGGCCAAAAAATGCATACGGGAGTGTAAAATGCGCAAAACCAGCAATTCAAGAAGCAGGCAGAAAACAGTCCAAGTATCAGCTAGTCAACAGGAGAGAGGTTAGTGCCCCGGACAATCCAGCTAGGAATCAAAAATACATACTATGTACATACAGAAAAACAATATCCATAGAGATACGCTGCACGGAAGAGTCCAAAAGCAGCTAAAAATGGAGAAAATTAGCTATCAAAATTGGCCAGTTTTCCTGCATATTGGTAGCTGCCAGTCACACTAAAACATACCAGACCCATAAGTTGGCTCCTCAGTTTCCACAGTTTCATCTTCCAAGCCCTTCTTGATCCTCCTGAGCCTCTTTCTCCTTGACTTTGCTGCTGCACTGCACTTTGCAAGGCTTTTCTCCATGCACGAAACATCGAGATCGGAGAAGGCTGGATGGGAGCAGTCTACAACAGGGCAATTCATTACGCGAAGGATGTACTCGAAAGTACCAATGCCATCGTTGAAATGAATCACAGCCAGGTAAACAGCAATCTTGACAATACATGCACCAGCAAACTCCGTTTTAGGCAAATATGACCATACCAGCTTGTTAAAACAGTCATTGCGATACTGTGTCGCACCCTTCTCGCACTTCAGTAGCAGCTGCTTGTCGGCGAGGTCACGATACACTGGCACCATCAGTTTGTAGATAGGCTTTGGAATAGGGTTGTGGTGTTCGTAAGGCTTTTCAGCAGTAGCTTTGTGGTAGCCACACCAGCTATCAGTTGGGCAGAACTCATGACGGGGATTCTCATCAGTGGATGCACGATGACAAAGCGAGGCATAAATAGCTTTCCGCATAGCACAGTAGTCACCACTATTCTCTCTTATCGCCTTCCCATACCAGTTCTGCAAGGAGTCCATGAGCTTGCTTGTCAGGCATCCACTACTGCTGATACTCGGATTTGCCGTCACTTAGCGACTTGGCCAGTGTCCCATGCAATAACGGACATAGCACGATAGAGTGAGGAAAAGCCGCGGCGCATCCAGGTACCATCCGCTGAAACAGCCATGTCACCGCCGACAGCATCTTGCACAGCACTGCTAGCACCATCCATGCTTTTCTCAGCAACTACCTCTACTGCAGAATATAGAGCATTCTGGTGGCCAGATAAACTGCTTCGACTCATTGGCGTTGGCATATTATTGATCACTGCACATAATTATACCAAGACTTGACGACCACGGCCAATCATGCGCATTGCGAACACTGCGATTTATCTCATAAAGAGATCCTGGGAGCTTGGGCGACATGGACAAAGAAACTTCAGCAGGGCACAGTGGCCACACTGAACATGAGAAGGTAATTGTTGCAGCCAGGCCACTGCGTTTTCCCTCCTTCACAATCACATTGCCACTCTTGCATGACATACACACACACAAACAAGTGCAATGGCAGCGAGCAGGAGGCCCAAGCTCACAACGCGATACCCAACGCCTGAGAAGCCATCACTTGTACCTGCTGGGCCAGTTTATCGGTGATCAGAGTCACCGGCATCGCTCTCAGACTCGGAACTGCTGTCCATGTCCACATTCCAAGTCGAAAAACTCAAATCTTGCAATTAAAAAATATTTCTCAGAACTGCTGCTTCTAGTGGCGATCGCCTCTTCTTCATGATCCGTGACGGCCTGCTCTTCCTGCGCACTTGCACTACCTTCACGACCAAATTGATTGCCGTGAAATACTCTTTTGGGTGTCTAGAACGTCGCTTTGCATTGCCTGTCGTCTCCACTGCCTCCAGCAGCTCCTGATCTGACAGCAATTTTGACAAGGTAATTGTCACAAATTTCACAAAAAAACACATATTTTTTGCCGAAGCTCAGATGGCCTGCATGCAGCAGGTCGCGTACGCGAACGCGTAGGCGGCTACACCTCGTGACCAAACCATTACCACTGAGTGCTGGAAGCATAGTGTTATCAGAATTTGCCAACAAATCGTGCTAGAATCACAGGAAACAGCGAAAT